TCTATCTATCTATCTATCTATCTATCTATCTATCTATCTATCTATCTGTTAAATAGATACATATTCCTGAATATATAAATACAACCTGCTCATTCTGCTACTTGTATGTAATTTTTCAGTGTTGATTATATGGTACTGGATAACTAGTTGGTGTACTTTTCCCTGGGGTAGGTTCTTTCTCCCACTCTCAGCATATCTTAGTTGTTTGTAGTTTTTTGTATAAGGCAGGGCGTTCTTGCACTTTCTCCACCTATTTTAGGATATATGCTGTTATTGTCCTTGTTTATCTCATGTTTGTGAAGCCATGTTAGTAAAACTTTATATGTGGGTACATCCTTGACATCCCTGGAAGATACAGTGTCACACAACAATCTGTCCCTTTATCTCTTAGCAATTTTTCCATCTCTTTCATTGTTCCCTGAACCTCCGGTGTGTGGGTTGCTTTGTAGATGTAGCCATTGGAACTGGGCTTCACAAATCCGCAATTTTGATTGGTTGTAGTTTTCTGTAATCGCCTTTGAATGTTGCAAAGAAAACTTTCTTTGGTGCAGGGTGAGGAATATACTTATCTTTGAGTATAAAGACAAATGTTCAGACTACAGTTAGGTATTGGTATGACAAATCTTTTTCTATCCAGCCAAACAGCTCCCAAGTAACAACACAGAGATTGGCTAGCTATAGCTGAGATTTGTTCCTAACTAGCTCTTATAACTTAAATTGACTCATTTATATAAATCTATTTTCTATCACATGGCATTACTTCTCTTCCATCTTGCAGCCCCTGTATTGTCTCCATGTCTCCTGGCATCACCTGTGCACCTAGATTCCTCCTCACTGTTCTTTCTTTCCCTGGAAGCTTCAACTATACCTCTTGCCTAGCTAGTGGCTGTTCAGATTTTTATTATACTAATAACAGCAATGCATTTACACACACTGTAAAAATATCTCACATTTCCTCCTTTTTGTCTAAATAAAAAGGAAAGATTTTAGCTTGAACAAGGTAAAACTATATACAATAATAACAATTATCAAGTAAGAATTATATTCACAAAGTTTAGTTCATATGTACTTGGCAAATTTGGAGAAAGTACTGTGTTGTCTATCCAATCTAAGTAAATTCAAAGTTTTCTACCTAACTTTATATCATAACTTGTATTACCATCCTAAAAATATCTGTTTAGGCCTAAAAATATCTTATTAGATAAACAATTTAAGTTTTTATATTTCTCAATCTTATAAATTTTACATCTCTTCTGTAAGTTTATTTTCTGAATTTAGAAACAAGGAAAGCTATAAAACTATAACTATCTAGTCTTCAACCCCATCAAAAATACAAGAAGGATATAATATTACCTGAAAAAAAACAGGAAGTGTAGATAAAACAACTTCCAAAAGTACAGAAATGACAGAAACAGATGGCTACATGGACAGTCACTCAAAATTCCTCTGCAATGCTGAGGCATCCATAGTTGGTCTACAAACATAGAATGTCTGACAGACTTTTCTGTGAAACAGGAATTTTGAAGGACTGTACTACCTTGAACTCACAAAGTTTGGAAGTTGTTTTCTTTTGTGTTCTGCTTGTCCAGTTTTGACAGCATACAGTCAGTAGTCAAGGCAAGAAAAGTTTCCTGCCCAAATATGTATGTTGGTTTAGCTTATCAGCCTGTACAATGAAATGTCTCTCTGTATTTAGCTTATTCACAATCAAAAAATTCAAAGAAAATACATTTATATATTTATATAAATTTATAACATTTATATATATATATATATATATATTCTAGACTCTCTGCGTATATTCCATCTTTATATGGCTGATTTTTCTTACTCTATTATATTTTTTACAAGTTTGGTATTTATTTTATTATCTTTATTCCTTTATCTATGACTGTCTGTACTCTTTTATATTATAATTGTCTGTACTCATTTTCCTCTCTCTCTCAAGTCTACATACATTTATCCAACACTGTAACCTGTTTAGAGGTCTTTTTCATCTGAATTTGTCTTTATTGCATGCTTATCTATAATTAGTTTCTGACCAGGAGTGCTTTTTAAAATGCTAAGCAGACATGGCTAGGACCAACTTCATGGTCCTGCCTGTTGGCTCTGCACAGTCCAACATGGTGGAGGCAGGTTCACTGCCTCTGAGAGCCATGCACACCACTCCACTCCAGCTCCAGGGTCACAGCGTGTCTATGTAACCATTAAGCATTTTGTAACACACTTTTTACAGACCCCATTTACAGGCTTGGCCTCCTGAAAGAGCCAGAGCTGTTCGTGCAACTAGCATGAACCAAGTAGCCCTCCCCTAAAGAAGTTGAACAGCCTTTGCTGCCAATGCTGAGTCAAGAAGTCCTCTCTTAGAGGAGCCAATCCTCTGCTCACCAGCAGCAAACAGAACCTATCTGAAAAAAAGTGTGACTACCAAGAAGCTGTGCTACACTTTGTAGAGAAACCTTTCCAAACTCTCTCAGTTTTTATGTGGATGTAGTCAACCATGTTGGCAAACTATTTTGTAGACAGAGACTGCTTGTCCATTTTCCAGCCACCCTGACCTGAATAATAGTGCAGAAATTATATGAATTCCAACACTGTTTCACAAATAAATTATACATATTTCTAGCTAACTCATACATCTTGAATTAACCACAAGGCTCATGGTTTACCAGTAAGGCTCCATCCAGCATCTGTTGCCTTCAATGACTACATAGCATCTACCTGACTCAGTGTTCTTTTCTCCTCTATCTCTACTTGGAATTCCTGCCGTGCTCTATTCTGCACTGCCATAGGCCCAAAGTAGCCTCTTTATCAACCAATATCAATAAAACACATATACAGCATACAGAGGGGAATTCCACATCACCAAATAATTATGCAGAGACTTAATATCAACTGTGGAACTTCTCCCTATACCTTAGGCTTGTTCCTAACTTGCTCTTATAATCAAAATTTACCCATTTATATTAATCTATGTTTTATGACATGGCATTACCTCTCTTTCATCTTGTATCCCTTATTTCCTCCCCCATGTCTCTTGACATCTCCCGTGTGCCTAGATTCCTCCTCTTCTTCCTTTCTCTCCCTGGAAACCTTGCCTATCTCTCCTGCCTAACTATTGGCTGTTCAGCTTTTTATTACACCAGTCACAGCAATACATATTCACACAGTGTATAATCATCACACAACAGATTGAGTTGAAATATCTCCTCATTTGTGCAATAGAAAGATGAGTGTTCTTCCAGTCTGTTATATAGTGGCTATTGATAGGTGAGAGCACACTTTCCTTTCATTCACACCAGGCATCATGCAGCACAAATAAGTATAATTTTCGTAGAACTTGTAATATGTAATTTCCTATATTTTTTCTAAGACAAAGTCTTGTTATGTTGTTCAGCCTAGTCTTAGACTTTCTGTGCTCAATGGATCCTCCCAATTCAGCAACCCAAAATAGAAAGAACTGCAGGCATATGTGCGCCATACTTTGCTCTCACTGAAAAATACTTACCATAATTAGTATTATTTATAATTACTCCTATGACAATCAGTTCTCATGTGTTTACTCAATAATTCTAACCTATATATTTATAATTTTGAGGATTCATAATCTCCAAAGTCATATATTAAAATTGACAATAGGAGTATGTTTCTAGGAAAAATATTTTAGGAAAGTATATTTGATGTCATCAGTTATCAGAAAAATCAAAATCATATGAATACAATTCATACTCCTTAGGAGGCCTTAAATAAAAAATAAAAAACTCTGAGCTATAAATTATGTTGGTGAAGATGTGGAGAAATTGGGAAACTCACACCTCGATTATAAAAATGTAAAGTAGTGTAACAACTTTAAATAAAACTCAGGTAAATTCTCAAATGCTTAATCACAGGGATATTAGGTGATACAGCACTATACCTGCTAGGTATATACCCAACACAAATCAAAGCATATATCCACATAGGAATATGCATATTAATGTTGATAGAAACATTATGTTGAGTGAAAAATGAAAAAATATAAATGTCTATGAAGTAAGAAATAGATAAATGAAATGTGGTTTATCTACACAGTGGAATATTATTTTTGTAGATGTTTTTGAAGTACTGGCATCTGCTAACAACATGAACAAACTGGAAAGCATTTGTAAAAATAAACTCTTAGCAAAAGAACACATATTGTATAATTTTATTTA